GAAGTGTTGAATGTGTTGAATGTGTGGAAGTGTTGAATGTGTGGAAGTGTTGAGTGTGTGGAAGTGTTGAATGTGTAGAAGTGTTGAAAGTGTGGAAGTGTTGTGTGTTTGGAAGTGTTGAATGTGTGGAAGTGTTGAATGTGTTGAATGTGTGGAAGTGTTGAATGTGTTGAATGTGTGGAAGTGTTGAATGTGTGGAAGTGTTGAATGTGTGTAAGTGTTGAATGTGTGGAAGTGTTGAGTGTGTGTAAGTGTTGAGTGTGTGTAAGTGTTGAATGTGTGGAAGTGTTGAGTGTGTGGAAGTGTTGAGTGTGTGGAAGTGTTAAATGTGTGGAAGTGTTGAATGTGTGGAAGTGTTGAGTGTGTGGAAGTGTTGAATGTGTGGAAGTGTTGAATGTGTGGAAGTGTTGAATGTGTTGAAAGTGTGGAAGTGTTGAATGTGTGGAAGTGTTGAATGTGTGGAAGTGTTGAATGTGTGAAAGTGTTGAGTGTGTGGAAGTGTTGAGTGTGTGGAATGTGTTGAATGTGTGGAAGTGTTGAATGTGTTGAATGTGTGGAAGTGTTGAATGTGTTGAATGTGTGGAAGTGTTGAATGTGTGGAAGTGTTGAATGTGTGGAAGTGTTGAATGTGTTGAATGTGTGGAAGTGTGGAAGTGTTGAGTGTGTGGAAGTGTTGAGTGTGTGGAATGTGTTGAATGTGTGGAATGTGTTGAATGTGTGGAAGTGTTGAATGTGTTGAATGTGTGGAAGTGTTGAATGTGTTGAATGTGTGGAAGTGTTGAATGTGTGGAAGTGTTGAATGTGTTGAATGTGTGGAAGTGTGGAAGTGTTGAGTGTGTGGAAGTGTTGAGTGTGTGGAATGTGTTGAATGTGTGGAAGTGTTGAATGTGTGGAAGTGTTGAATGTGTTGAATGTGTGGAAGTGTTGAATGTGTGGAAGTGTTGAGTGTGTGGAAGTGTTGAATGTGTAGAAGTGTTGAAAGTGTGGAAGTGTTGTGTGTTTGGAAGTGTTGAATGTGTGGAAGTGTTGAATGTGTTGAATGTGTGGAAGTGTTGAATGTGTGGAAGTGTTGAATGTGTTGAAGTGTTGAGTGTGTGGAAGTGCTGAATGTGTGGAAGTGTTGAGTGTGTGGAAGTGTTGAATGTGTGGAAGTGTTGAGTGTGTGGAAGTGTTGAATGTGTTGAGTGTGTGGAAGTGTTGAATGTGTGGAAGTGTTGAATGTGTTGAAAGTGTGGAAGTGTTGAATGTGTGGAAGTGTTGAATGTGTGGAAGTGTTGAATGTGTGAAAGTGTTGAGTGTGTGGAAGTGTTGAGTGTGTGGAATGTGTTGAATGTGTGGAAGTGTTGAATGTGTTGAATGTGTGGAAGTGTTGAATGTGTTGAATGTGTGGAAGTGTTGAATGTGTGGAAGTGTTGAGTGTGTGGAAGTGTTGAATGTGTAGAAGTGTTGAAAGTGTGGAAGTGTTGAATGTGTGGAAGTGTTGAGTGTGTGGAAGTGTTGAATGTGTAGAAGTGTTGAAAGTGTGGAAGTGTTGTGTGTTTGGAAGTGTTGAATGTGTGGAAGTGTTGAATGTGTTGAATGTGTGGAAGTGTTGAATGTGTTGAATGTGTGGAAGTGTTGAATGTGTGGAAGTGTTGAATGTGTGTAAGTGTTGAATGTGTGGAAGTGTTGAGTGTGTGTAAGTGTTGAGTGTGTGTAAGTGTTGAATGTGTGGAAGTGTTGAGTGTGTGGAAGTGTTGAGTGTGTGTAAGTGTTGAATGTGTGGAAGTGTTGAATGTGTGGAAGTGTTGAGTGTGTGGAAGTGTTGAATGTGTGGAAGTGTTGAGTGTGTGGAAGTGTTGAATGTGTGGAAGTGTTGAATGTGTTGAAAGTGTGGAAGTGTTGAATGTGTGGAAGTGTTGAATGTGTGGAAGTGTTGAATGTGTGAAAGTGTTGAGTGTGTGGAAGTGTTGAGTGTGTGGAATGTGTTGAATGTGTGGAAGTGTTGAATGTGTTGAATGTGTGGAAGTGTTGAATGTGTTGAATGTGTGGAAGTGTTGAATGTGTGGAAGTGTTGAATGTGTGGAAGTGTTGAATGTGTTGAATGTGTGGAAGTGTGGAAGTGTTGAGTGTGTGGAAGTGTTGAGTGTGTGGAATGTGTTGAATGTGTGGAATGTGTTGAATGTGTGGAAGTGTTGAATGTGTTGAATGTGTGGAAGTGTTGAATGTGTTGAATGTGTGGAAGTGTTGAATGTGTGGAAGTGTTGAATGTGTGGAAGTGTTGAATGTGTTGAATGTGTGGAAGTGTGGAAGTGTTGAGTGTGTGGAAGTGTTGAGTGTGTGGAATGTGTTGAATGTGTGGAAGTGTTGAATGTGTTGAATGTGTGGAAGTGTTGAATGTGTTGAATGTGTGGAAGTGTTGAATGTGTGGAAGTGTTGAGTGTGTGGAAGTGTTGAATGTGTAGAAGTGTTGAAAGTGTGGAAGTGTTGTGTGTTTGGAAGTGTTGAATGTGTGGAAGTGTTGAATGTGTTGAATGTGTGGAAGTGTTGAATGTTTTGAATGTGTGGAAGTGTTGAATGTGTGGAAGTGTTGAGTGTGTGGAAGTGTTGAATGTGTAGAAGTGTGGAAGTGTTGTGTGTTTGGAAGTGTTGAATGTGTGGAAGTGTTGAATGTGTTGAATGTGTGGAAGTGTTGAATGTGTTGAATGTGTGGAAGTGTTGAATGTGTGGAAGTGTTGAGTGTGTGGAAGTGTTGAATGTGTAGAAGTGTTGAAAGTGTGGAAGTGTTGTGTGTTTGGAAGTGTTGAATGTGTGGAAGTGTTGAATGTGTTGAATGTGTGGAAGTGTTGAATGTGTTGAATGTGTGGAAGTGTTGAATGTGTGGAAGTGTTGAATGTGTGGAAGTGTTGAGTGTGTGGAAGTGTTGAATGTGTGGAAGTGTTGAATGTGTGGAAGTGTTGAGTGTGTGGAAGTGTTGAATGTGTGGAAGTGTTGAATGTGTGGAAGTGTTGAGTGTGTGGAAGTGCTGAATGTGTTGAATGTGTGGACGTGTTGAGTGTGTGGAAGTGTTGAGTGTGTGGAAGTGTTGAATGTGTGGAAGTGTTGAGTGTGTGGAAGTGCTGAATGTGTTGAATGTGTGGAAGTGTTGAGTGTGTGGAAGTGTTGAATGTGTGGAAGTGTTGAATGTGTGGAAGTGTTGAGTGTGTTGAATGTGTGGAAGTGTTGAATGTGTGGAAGTGTTGAATGTGTGGAAGTGTTGAATGTGTGGAAGTGTTGAGTGTGTTGAGTGTGTGGAAGTGTTGAATGTGTGGAAGTGTTGAATGTGTGTAAGTGTTGAATGTCTGGAAGTGTTGAGTGTGTTGAGTGTGTGTAAGTGTTGAATGTGTTGAGTGTGTGGAAGCGTTGAATGTGTGAAAGTGCTGAATGTGTTGAATGTGTGGAAGTGTTGAATGTGTGTGAGTGTTAAATGTGTGGAAGTGCTGAATGTGTTGAATGTGTGGAAGTGTCGAAAGTGTCGAATGTAACCTTGAAGGCAACGTCAGCGGCGACCGACTCATTCCGCCCTTTCTGCGGCCTCGCATCCAAAATCCGTTGGCCACCCGAAGCGGCCCCTCGGGAACGGGACCGCCTCGTCGGGCTACCTGACGCGGCCGTGAGCGCGGCCCGTAGGGCGTGGAAACAAACCGGGCCTCGGCAATCATCACCGCGGCGAGATCGCCGGATTCCTGGTGCAAAAACGTCGGGTCGGGCTTGCTATCGCCGTACCGGGCCGGTGCACGCCCCCGGGGTCCGCGTGAGAACATCGTTCTCGGCCGTGTAGGTATTGACAGGGATATTAATGCGATTGCACGGTCTTCACACCCCCCCCCCCACCCCCACAAGAGACCTTTATCCGCGGAGCTGATCGCTTAAAATGACCACTGCTCCGTCACCGGTAAAAAAAAAAAAAAACGCCTGCCGTACGACCGGCCATCCACTTTGGACCTCGTTCAATCCCTCCGCCTCCCACTGCCTCTTAATGAGTTTTTAGGGACAACCGTGTCCCCCCCCCCCCCCCCCCCAGTAGATCCATACGCGAGTGAGCGTACGCAGATTAGTATATGAGTGAGTGAGTGTACGCGTGTGTGCGTGAGTGGGAGTGTGTGTGTGTCTCTCTGAGGTCATGTATCGGTTAGCTACACAACCGTAGGGGCGCTGCGCTAGGAACCTTGCGACCCGAGTTTGATGATTCCCGCTCACGGCCACCATCGCCAGTGACGATTATCCGAACCGGTCCTGGGCCTTCACTACGTCGACTCAGCTGCAGCGTGTAAACGTCGCCGATAGGGAAGCAAAGGCGGACGGGGGTGGCTCTGGCCACCCACGCCTTCGTGTGCCGTGCCGGCCTTCATTGGCGCCTGCTAGCAGCACTTGGCGCAAAAGTTAAGGCTACACGGGGGATCTTTGCATGTGTGAGCCACAACGGAGGGCAGAGGAGGGGCGCTCGCAACAACGAGCGGAGCGCCGGGCGGCTAAAGCACGGCGAGTTGGCACAGTAGGGGGCACAGGTGGTGCATCGGCCACTCGTCTCAGCCAGTCGACCGGTGGCACCTGGGTCTCTCCCGCGACCTCCAGCCAACGGACGTCCGACACTTCACGTGGCCTCAACGTGCACCTAGGCCGGCACAGGCGCCGCGCTGACGTCGCCGCCACTTAGCGGCGAATGGCGGTTGTTGTTGTTGTTGTTGTTGTTGCGTGCGTGCGTGTGGTGCGGGTTGGCACAGTACGGGGTACAGTTGGTGGTGCACCTACCGGTCATCTCATCCAGCCAAACCCACGGCACCTGGGTTTGCCCCGAGACTTTCCGCCCGCCAGCAGCGAGCCTTCGGCACTTCACGTGGCCGCCGGAGTGCCGCGGTGGACGTCACCCTCACTTAGTGGCGAATGGCTGTTGTTGTTGTTGTTGTTGCTGCGATTGTTGTTGTTGTTGTTGTTGTTGCTGCGTGCGTTGCGAGGCGGGGGGGGGGGCGGGGGGGTGGTACCAGCTCTCTGTAGATGCCGTCTGCCCGCGCGTCGCTCCGGGCCCCGCGCTCCTCGCGCTGCTGCTGCTGCTGCTGCCGGCCAGTGGGGTTCCTCGGGGGGCGGCTGGCGTGGGACCCGCCGCTCAGCAGGTTCCCGCCGGCGCTGCCGACACCTCCGAACGTCCGCACCTGCGGGCACGCGGACAACGAAACCCGCATCAAACACTCGCCCCCGTATGGCCTATGGGCAGACTGCTGTGGCCCTCTTTGAGGTGGTTCAGCAAACGCCCGTTGTTGGAGCCTGTCGATTTAGGATGCCCCCGGCTGGTGTATTGAGAAAGAAGAAAGGAGGAGAAGGAAAAAAAACAACAGAAAGGCAACAACAAAAAAAAACTACAGAAAAACAAAAACAACAACAACAGAAACTTATAAAAACAACAAAAAATAACAAAAAATTAAAAACAACAAAACAAAAACATAAAAAATACTAAAAAAAACAACAGAAACAACAAAAAACACAACTTAAAAAACTACAACAAAATAACAAAAACAAAAAACAAAAAATAAAAAACAAAAAAACTAAAAAAAACAACAAAAAAATAACAAAAACAAAAAAATAACAAAAAAAACAACAACACAAAAACATAAAAAAACAAAAAAAACTACTAAAAAACAACAATAGAAACAACAAAATACAAACAAAAAACAACGAAATAACAAAAAAATTACAAAAAACATAAAAAAAACTACTAAAAAAACAACAGAAACAACAACAACAAAAAACAACTTAAAAAACTACAAAAAAAATAACAAAAACTAACAAACAAAAAATAACAAAAATAAAAAAAACAACGAAAAACAACAACGACAACAACAACAACGACAACAAGAGGTTCGGCTGAATCGCGAGCGCGGGAAAATCGGGCTCGGGTGGCCGGGTTCGTGGCGCGTCGCTGTTCACAGAACTACACCACCGCTGCTCCGCAAAGCCAAAGGTCACCCGCGTAGCCTCGGCAGACTGTCGGGGCAAGCGCTGTTAGCGAGGAGCAGCGCCGGTGAAGGCCCGGCACGGCGCGCGAGGAGTTGCGGGTGGCCAGCAACCGCGCCCGGCCGCCATTTGTCTCCCCGGCGGCGATGTTCACTACACACCGCGCCAGGCGCTGACTTTGAGGCTGCGGTGACCTAGGGCACGCCCGGGACCGGTCCAGATAACCGTCGTCCGGTGTTGGCCGTGAGCAACACACACACACACGCACAAACGCACGCAGGCAGGCAGTCGCTCGTGCGCGCATGCACGCATCGCAAAGGCCAAAGATGTCCTGTTTATCCATCGGGGCATGAATTAAGCGGGAAAAAAAAATCCCAATTGCACGCAGTGTTTGTTGTTAGGGTGTCTCTACTCCTCGGCGATCCGAGACATCGCAGGTGGGAGACTGTGTCACGAGCCGAATCTCTCCCTTGCTGGCTCAGTGCACGTGGCACACTGAGAAACCTAAAAAATCCCCCAGGGCCACGAGGGACACTCCAAATGCATTGTTTCACTCTAATTAAAGATAAGGTGCTGGAAGATGCAATTTAAAGGTGGCATCACTTGCTACGGGTTTCGGTGTAAAAATTATCGCGTTGACACGCCGACTCTCAGAAGGCGCCCGGGAGATAAAAATACATCTCTACGTAGATAAAGACGAAGATCCCCCGTGTAGCCTCAACGGACTGTTGGGGCCAAGTGCTGTTAGCGAGTAGCGCCGGTGAAGGCACCCGAGTGGCACACGAGGGGGTGGGGGAGCCCAGCACCACGCCCGGCCGCCTTTGTCTCCCCAGTGGCGATGTTTACGCACCGCACCGGGTACTCATTGGAGGCTGAGTCGACCTAGGGGAGGCCAGGGACCGGTTCAGATATTCGTCACCGGTATTGGCCGCACCGATACCCATACCCGCTATCCGCCACTAAGTCACGGCCCAGTCACCAGGGCCCCTGTGCCAGGCCAGGTTGCAGAGTTTGAGGCCATGTGAAGTGTCGAAGGCTCGCCGCTGACAGGAGGTCACGGGACAGACCCGGCAGGTGCCACGGGTACGACTGACTGAGACGACCGGCTGATGCACCACCTGTGCCCTCTACTGCGCCAACCTGCTGTGCTTTAGCCACCCGGCGCTCCGCTCGTTGTTGTTGTGAACGTCGCTGTCCCCGCCCCCACCCCCCCCCTCCGCTGTTGTTGGAGGGCGACTACCTCCAACCGATCACTAGCGTCCTTCATCACCGCTCCACACACACACAAACACACATATACAACGCGCACACATGCAGAGGCACAACACTGCAGCCCTTGCAAACTATATAAAGGGTGCTTCAAAACAAATGTTAACACTCGCACGCGACTATCGTTTTCAATGGGAGAACGGATGCTACGCAGTTGTAACGTGATAACAAATGTCACGTTAATAGCTTCAAAGAGGAGTCTCCCACTCGTTCGCCGTCGGATGTCAACGCACGTTGCCTGGGATCTTGTCCAGGTGGTCTCCAGAGCCCGGAGGCAGCAGCGCGGCATCGTTGCAAATTCTCCAAAGCGTTCACATATTTTTGAAGCACCCTGCGTATACGAAAAAGAAGCACGTGGCTCCGGACCATGAAAGCAGAAACAAAGGCGAGAGGAGGCAAAGCTCCACACGCCCACTGGACAGAGCAGGATATCGAATTTTAACGGCGCTGTATTTGTATTACACTTGTGCCACAGCCATCATGCCACGAGACGCGGGGAGGGGAGGAGGGGTTGATCCGACATTCGGAACAAGTCGCGGCAAATCGGTGCAGAAAAAAATATATAATATATATAAGGGACGGCTTTACCCCTTCTGGCAAATAACGCAGGGGTTAGTTAAGATGTTCAAAGGCCATTTCCGCCACACTAAAGCGGGCCCATATGGACGTACGATGAACTTCTTGGGCAGCGTGGGAAGCCAACCGTGGCTAATTGTCGGTGTGGGCGGGGTGTGGGGGGGGGGGGAAGGACAACAAACTAAAACGTTAAAAGCAGATCGGGAGAAACGAGGGGTCAACCAATCTCGATTTAAAAGCGTGTGGCTCCAGGTGGCTTCTTAATATCGGAAGGAAGAACGTTCCGGACGGCCGCGGATGCAAGGCCCGCGCCTCGCCAAGGCCGTATGCCCCGCAGCAATCGAATTGACAAATTTAATTCGGGGCTGGGAAGTGCAAAATTAAGTATGAAGCCAAATCCGACGTGATGTTCATTACGCAAACCATCTTAAAATAAAAAAAAACATCCCGAAGCAGAAGATGAGTGCATTATTATGCAAATGTGACTTGTCACCATTACCCCGTGTGCTGACATTTCGATGCCAATATGGCCACTCTATTGAGGGTCTAGACCTGTGCGGCGTTGTCTCGGTGCGGTCTGGGACTGCTTTGTCGTTGTTTCCGCCGCCTTGCCCCATCTCGATTCATCGGTGACTTCCGAGACGAATTCGTTGCCTAGATTTCTCTCCGCTCTGCACTCCCGACCGCGTGGCTGCGTCCCCGTTTGCCGTTGCTGTGTCTCGCTGACCCCAGTGCCCACGTGGGACGTCTGCGGAGGGATGACGTCAACGCGGCTCAGTCGACGACCCGGTACGGTCGCGGGTGGCCGGTAGACGCCGAGCCGAACCTGCGGCTTCGGCAACATGCTACCGCGGCGGGCGCTCTCTCGCGGCAACGCCAAACCCCCACCCCACCCCCCCCCCCTCGGAAAGCCTACGAATCACGAATATTTAACACCTAGGAGGCTTTTGCGACCAATGTCATCCATAATAGAGGTTTGTTTTGTGGTTAGATCGCGCGAATGTAGAAATGTGTCGTCAAAACCCGCCACCACCCGACACAGGCAACCAGCAAGGGTTGTCACGTAAATAGAACGTGGCCGAATCTGGCTGCCGCCTGATGAAGCTGGTTGTAATTATTGGTGAAACGTCGTTACTCAGATTGTAAATGTTGTGGCTTGGCTCTCCAACACACCGGTGAGCTGTACTAGTATACTACACTATACACTACTATACACTACACTATACACTACACTATACACTACACTATACACTATTATGCACTACACTATACACTACACTATACATTACACCACACTACACTATACACTACACTATACACGACTATACACTACACTATACGCTCCTATACACTACACTATACACTACTATACACTATACTATACACTACTATACACTACACACTACTACACTATACACTACAACACTATACACTACTATACACTACACTATACACTACACACTACACTAATCACTACACCATACACTACACCATACACTACACTATACACTACAATTACACTAGTGCTGTACTAGTGACGAATTGGCCACGTTCTGTTTACGTGACAACCCCTTACTAGTTGGCCGTGTCGGGTGGTGGCGGGTTTTAACGCCACAACATTTATACATTTACGCGATCTAACCAAAAAGAAAACCTCAATGATGGACAAACAACAACAACAAACAAACAAACAAAAAAAACAAGATTTGAAAATGAAAATGTCCGTACCCCCTACGGGGTAAAAACAAAACAAAAAAAACAGAAATTCTCAAAAGTTTTGTTCGACCGTAAAAAGCCTCTCGACGTAAACGCGCGACAAGCAAACTCCCACCCCTCCCCCGCTGTGTAGCCTGAGCAGACCTGGAGGGGCAAGTGCCGCTGTTAGCGAGCAGCACCTAACGAAGGCCGGGACGGCACACGAGTGGGGTGGGGTGGGCCAGCACCACGCACGGCCGCCTTTGTCTCCCCGAGTGGCCATGTTTACCGCACACACCGCGCGCGCCGGGTGCTCATTTGAGGCCGAGTCCACCTAGGGGGAGGCCCAGGACCGGTTCAGGCAATCGTCGCCGGTGTTGGCCGTGAGCGGGAATCGAACCCGGGTCGCCGGGTTTCGTAGCGCAGCGCAACGTAGCCCCAACCGCTACACCGCCGCTCCCCGCTCACTCACACACACACGCGCACGTGCTCACACATACACACACACGCGCGCGCGCGTGCGTGCTAACACACACACACACACGCACATATACATATTTAATGTAATCCTTTGGGGAGCTCCACTCCCCAAGTTCTTGGGAGAATTGTGCCGCTGGCATTTGACATTCCGCTTTGGATACTGACATTTCGCGCCCGATCTTTTCGGACCTCTTGACCTTTCCCTCGCCTCCTCGCTCCGCAACGGCATGAGAGGCAACGCAAAGCGCTCCAGAATTCACCGCTGGACTCAAGAGCACCCCCCCCCCCCCGCCCCCCCCCCCGGCCCCCCCCCCCGGCCCCCCCC